AAATATATTCAGACATTTTTCAGTTATTCGGGGAGGTTTGTGCATGGTCCCATGCAGAGCATCAAAGTTCCTCTTTGAAATATCCCAGCTTTGCCAATGACACCTCTTTTCTCAACTGCAGAACTTCCCAAAACATCTGATCAACGTCCTGCTATTTCACGAGTCCCTGCTGAATATATCGAATGCATGTAAAAAAGTTATATACAGAAGTGATCCTATATCTGCAAAAGGGAGAAATGTAGTAATAGTTGCTTGAGTCCCCTAATTTAATTCTGTGTTTACAGGACTTACTCTGGCCAGTGAGAGTACATTTTTTTTTGGTCCTCCACATTCAACTGCAGAAGCTTTCACAAATTGAATAGGTTGTAATCCCACTGGTTCAATGCTTAGAGTATTGTTTCCCACAGCCTCCAGAAGAGCTGAAGCCAACTCACTTTTTGAGAATGTTAAACATGGAAAGATATCTTCCTGACAGATTTTGTCTAAGAAAGGGCATGTTCTGTCCATTGTGGGCTCACCCTTCCAAGACCGAGTTTCCAGCTGGTACTCCAAGGTCATCCAGGTAGACAATGGAAGTGAAGAATCCCTCTTTGCACTCTTTTACAATGGGCTGTATCACACTGAGGTCCTGAAGGCTGCCACTCATGGCTCTGCTTGTACTTTTATTTCTGGTATGCCCGTTTTTTTTTTTTTGTTTTTTTTTTGAGAGATTTTCATTGTAGGGCGCGTGCGCTCACCAGACAGACAGAGAGAGACATAGAGACAGAAAGCGAGAAACCACCCCCCAGGGGGGATGGTCACGCCGCAATCCCTTCTCCTCCATTCTCCTCTCAGGATCTTGGGCACGCACGCACACGCGCCCGGCGTGAGTTTTAAGCCACCGGGTCCGGGACATGAACCGCGGTCGACTATGTGGGAGTCCAGCGACATAGCCATTACGCTAACTGCTGGTTCTCTGGTATGCCTGTTTTTAAAAGGTGTCTTTCCACCCGCCAGAGGCTCTCGTGTAGGTCATGTTGGAGAACTGGACACCAGTGTCTTCAGTGCAGCTACCTCAGCTTGAAGTACATCAGTTTTTCCTTGTGCTTCTTTTAACTGCTCTTCTGCTGTAGCCTGCTTGACATTTGCTTCTCTCACCATTTTGTGAGCTTCCTCAAACAGAGTAGCTGTGAGTTCTTCCAATTCCTGTCCAAGTTGATCTCATACTTTTGAAAGTCTCTCACATTCTTCATCTTTTAACTTCAGTTCCCTCTGAGCTTTTGCAAGTTCTTTTACTCTTTCATAGCCCTTTTCTCTGATGTCCAAAACAGATGGACTTCACAATTTGGACAGTCTATCAGTACTCAACCCAAAAATATCATCACTGCCATCACAAGCCTCTGTTACAGTAGCACCTGCAAAAACTCCCTCTCTGCATTACAGTTGTCCTTTTGCGGAGTGAACTTAGTTAACCCAGCTGTGATTCAAGAGGTAGAAGAAGATGCTGAGTCTCGAACATGAATGCTGATACTAGATATTTCTGCACAATTTCAATGTCTGGGAGATGAATACACGCGTTGTGTAGGAAGGTCAGAAACATCTAAGGTATTAGCCTGGCTGTGGGTAGAGCATAAACTGAAGGACGTGGCCGGTAAATGACACTTGGCGATGTAGTCTGCTCTTGTGTTCCTGCTTCACACACACCAAGAAGGTCCGGAGATGTGGGTGGAGCAAGGTTTACTACATGGAAGCCTGCCAAGGGGTCATTAGCCATAGCAAAAGCTTCATCATAAGAGAACCTGATGAACCCACTGTGGCCTCTGCCCGCGCTCAAGGGCACTCACACAACCACAGAGAGTGCACCCCAAGGCAGCCAAAGGCATAGGAGGACTACAGGCCGACCCGGGTCCACTCTGCGGCAACCTGCACACAGCACTGGGAGCCGCTGCAGGAGCGTGGGACTGCGCCTGCACCAGGAGCAGGACCCTAAGCCCAAGGAGTTCAATAAACTGTAAGATGAAAAAACATCAACGGAGAAGGTATTTTTTTTTAAATACTTTTTTTCCTTTCAGTGGTTTTTGACATAAGGCAAGTGTGCTCATGGGAGAGACATAGAAAATGAGAGGGAAAGTTACAAATCATCCTTGTGGGGGATGGCTATACTGCAATCCATTCTCCTCCATTCATCTCCTTCGGGCATGCACACACGCCTGGCATGATTTTCTCTTTTCTTCATTTTCATTATTTTATTTTAAGTTTTTGAAAGTGACCAGAGAGAGAAGGAAAGTGAGAAAGCAAGCTGCCAGGCACAGGAATTAAATAGCAGTCAGCCATGTCAAAGTCCAGCCACCTTAACCACCATGCCACCTGCTGGTCCCAACTGGGCATGATTTTCTAGCCATTAGGTCCTGATTCAAACCTGTGGCCAGCCATGTGGGAGTCAAGTGATTTAACCACTATGCAATCTGCTGGATCCCAAAACCCTTTTTAAATACCAAAAGCAAATCTACTGAAAACAAAAATCAAAACCACAACAATATGCAATGGTAACAGCAACCTACAAAAAATACCTATAAAAATATTTTATTTAGGGAACCAGCAGTTAGCGTAATGGCTATGTCGCTGGACTCCCACGTAGTCGACAGCGGTTCGCGTCCCGGACCCGGTGGCTTAAAACTCAGCCAGGCGCGTGTGCATGCGTGCCCAAGATCCCGAGAGGAGAATGGAAGAGAAGGGATTGCGGCGTGACCATCCCCCCTGGGGGGTGATTTCTCGCTTTCTGTCTCTATGTCTCTCTCTGTCTGGCTGGCGAGCACACGCGCCCTATAGCGAAAACCTCTCCAAAAAAAAAATTTATTTAAAGAATTATTTTATTTCATTTTATTAATCATGATTTCTTTAATATCAATATTTTTATACCTTGATCAGAGAAAGAGAAGGATGGAAAGCAACTGACAGCTACCTACATATGAAAATTTTAATCAAAAACGTGAAATGCTGGAGCAGGTGGTTAAGGGTGCCCGATCCCCACATGGTTGACCACGGCTCGAGTCAAGATCTGGCAGCTTCCTTTCTTGCTGTCCCTCTCTCAATCTCTCTTCCTCTATCTCACTCTTTCCTATCTGGTCAAATTATAAGAAATAAATAAATAAAGGGAAACAAATAATTCTTAAAAATATCAATTTCAGGGAACCAGCAGTTAGCAGTATGGGTATGTCGCTGGACTCCCACGTGATTGACCGCGGTTCACGTCCCGGACCCAGTGGCTTAAAACTCATGCCAGGCGCGTGTGCGTGCGTGCCCAAGATCCCAAGAGAAGAATGGAGGAGAAGGGATTGTGGCGTGACCATCCCCCTTGGGGGGTGATTTCTCGCTTTCTGTCTCTATGTCTCTCTCTGTCTGTCTGGCGAGCGCACACGCCCTATAGCAAAAATCTCTCCAAAAAAAAAAAAATCAATTTCAAATGGACATTGATCTAGGCGGAGTTCTTGGATAAGAACTCAAAAGTAAAACTAGATAAGAGCAAGCCGGTCACATGGTGGTTAGGCACTAGACTCTGATATGGATGACTGCAGTCCGTGTGGTTTGAATCCGGGGCCTGGTGGCCTGCTCTCTCACTTTTCCTCTCTCTCTCTCTGTCTGTCTCTCACTGGTGAGCACACATTCCCTATAGCAAATTTAAACATAAATGAAAATTAAATGAATTTTTTAGTATAAAGTAGTAGCACACAAATTAGATTATATCAAACTAATATGCTCTTACATAAGTTGAAGGAAATAACAGAAATAAGAGACAACATACAGAATAAAAGAGAATACTGGTAAAGCATGTATCAGTCAGGGTTAAAAAACAGAACATATGAAGAACTTAAAACTCAACAGCAAAAATAATAATTAGAAAGAACACAGAAGGATCAGCAGATGGCATAATGTTTATGTCATTGGACTCACACGGATGCAACCATGTTCTGAGGCCCGGTCCAAGCAGCTTAAAATTCATGCTGGACATGTGTGCATGTATGCCAAGAATCCCAAGAAGAGAATGGAGACAAAGGGATTACAGCGTGGCCATCTCCTTTGGGGTATGATTTCTTATTTTGTCTCTCTTTGCCTCTTTGAGAAGTGTACAAGCCCTATAGCAAAAATCTCTTAAAAGAAAAAAAAAGAGCAAATTGCCAGCAGATGACACAGTGGTTAAGGTCGTACATTCTCACATGGCTGTCCTCATTTCCTATTACTAGACCCAGTGTTTTGAAAATCACACAGGGGGGACCAGCAGGTGGCATGGTGGTTAAGGTGCTGGACACTCCCACATGGCTGACTATGGTTCAAGTCCTGGACCTGGTGGCTTGCTTTCTCACTTCCCCTCTTTCTCTCTCTCTCTCTGTCGAATTAAAAAAATAAAATGAATAAATAAATAACATTAAAAAAGAAAGAAAGAAAATTACACAGGACTGGGGCAAGTAGATGTCATAGTGGTTATGTCACTGGACTCCTACACGGCCAAGTGTGGTCTGAGTCCAGGACACAGTGGCTTGAAACTCACAGTAAGAGTGTGTACGTAAAATGTGCAAGATACCGGAAAGAGAATGGAGAAAGGACTGCAGCATAGCCATCCCCCCCGAGAAGTGATTTCTCATTTTCCCTCTCGATGTCTCTGTTTCTCTCTCTGGGGAGTACACACACCCTAAGACAAGCACCTCTTAAAAAAAAAAAAAATCAAACCAGGTGCGTGTGTGTGCCCAATATCCCGAGAAGATAATGGGAGAGAGGTATGGCCAGCCTCCCTGGAGAGTGATTTCTCACTTTCCCTCTGTCTCTGGGGAAAGCTCACACCTTATGGCAAAGACCTTCAAGGAAAAAGGAAGAGATGATTGCTTAAGTAAAAATTTCTACTACATAAAAGTGAACAGCATGAATTAACATCGGCTTCAATAAATGATGTGAGACTGAAACTCACGAGCCCTAATTCCAGGGACCTGTGACCCTATCTGCACATGAGGATCTAACACGGGCTCCTCCTACTGACCACCTTTGTAGCGCTGCTGAGTAATAATCTCAGAAGACTGAACCCTGCTGCCCTGTTCCAAAGAGGAACAGGAGTGAAAAACTCAGAAATAAAAAATGAGAGGATCCTTGGGAAATATGTCAGTATTTATCTGTCCTTGTTCCTGACACAGATCTCCTCCTGCCTTGATATTTCCTGGATAATGAGACTGTGATTCCTTCTTCTCCTTCTTCTTTTTAAAGAGTTATTTTATTTAACTATTTATTTAATTTGATGAGAGAGAGAGAGAGAGAGAAAGTGAGAAAGAAAGCCACCAGTTCCGAGACTCAAACTATGGTAGGCCTTGTAGAAGTCTAGCACACTTAAACACGCCACTTGCTGGCCCCATGATTTCTTCTAATAAGATAACACTTGGGACCGGCAGGTGGCATGGAGGTTAGGACTGCAGGACTCCCACATGGCCAACCTCAATTTGAGTCCTGGACTTGGCAGTTTGATTTCTCACTTTCTCGCCCTCTCTTTCTCTGCTCCTCTCTGGCCGAGTAAATAAATAAAGTTAAAATAATTCCTAAAAAAACAAACGAAAACAAAAAACAAGTAAGACAACACTAAGAGTTTCCTAGATTGGGACTGGTCACCAAAAATACAGGGTCAGGATTAGAAACAGAACTTTCACCTGTGAATAAAAGGGCAGGATACTGAAATAATCTTCCACCATGTCTACTGAAGAAGCCTCCCTAAAACTTCCTAGACTATGGAGTCCTGGGGATTCCAAATGTTGAACACACAGAAGTGCCTGGACAGTGTTCTCCCAAAGGGGCCAAGGAAGCTCCACACTTGTTTTCTTTCTTTTTTTCATGAGAGATTATTGCTGCAGCGCATGTGCACTCACCATTGAGACAGAGAAAGTGAGAAATCACACCACAAGGGAATGGCCACACTGCAGTTCCTCTCCTCCATCTGCTCTCAGGATCCTGCACATGCACACACATGTACCTGGCAAGAGTTTTAAGCCACTGGGTCCAGGACTCAAAAGGAGGTTTACTACGTGGGAATCCAGTGAGGTAACCATCCGCTGGCCCTACTCTACACACCTTCTGAGGCACCTAAGCATCTCTTCATTTGGTGGTTTCCCTGTATTCTTTAAAATATGTTTTATAACAAACCAGGAAAACTGAGATAGGATGTCCCTGATTTTGTGAGTCACCCTAGCAAATTCATGAAATCCAAGAATATGATTATGGGAACAATGATGTATAGGGTGAAAACCTACTCATGATTGGCATTTACAGTAACAGACATTCTTCAGATATCAAGTTTTATTTATCTATTTTTATTTAGCTTTATATATTATTATTATTATTATTATTATTTCAGTTTGATCAGAGAGAGAGAAGTGAGAAAGTAAGCCACTAAGTCCAAGTCTCCTACCACGGTCACCCATGTGAAACTCCAGCACCTTGAACCACCACACCTGTTAATTGCTGAGGAATCAAGGGGTTTTTTTGAAAGGTTTTTGCTATAGGGTGCATGTGCTTGCCAGAGAGAGTGACATAAAGCAAGAAGTCACCCTCCAGGGGGGATGGCCACGCAGCTCCTCTTGGGATATTGGGCACGTACGCATCTGGCATGAGTTTAAGCCACTGGGTCCAGGACTCGAACTGTGGTTGACTACATGGGAATCCAGTGACATAGTCATTACTCCAACTGCTGGTTCTTAGAAATCAAGTTTTAACATGCAGAATATGACTGCAACTCCAGATAGTCAGAACCAACATGAAACACAGGGGAGCCAGCTAGTGTTCATAAGAGATCAGACTCTTGGCAGAGCAAAAACAGCAGGCAATTTTTACGATAGCCCAAGCTTTCTGTGCTGGGTGGGGTGTCAGCGAGCAGAAGGAGTGCTTTCCCTTTTCCTTGGGCTAACAGACGTGGACAGGCAGACCACTCTGTCTCCAGAGATGACTGTGTAGGTCCAGCCATCATGACACTGGGGCCTGCATGCTGATCTTCCAGAGAAAGGAGCATCTGCTGGAATCGAAAGGAGAAACCCTTACATGATCCTCTCCAGTGCTGAGGAGAGCCATGGAAGCAGAGTTCATGTAAGCCAGGAGACAGTGCTGCCCACCACGACTGCCAGCAGGTGGAGGGGTGGTTAAGGCAAGGGACTCCCCCATGGCTGATCACGGTTCAAATTCTGGACGTGGCGGTTTTTTCTCTCTCCTCTCTCCCTCCTGGTGGTTAGATGTAAGTGTTTCTTTTCACACAGGATTCAGTCACTTGTAGAGTTCCCGAACACTATTTACTGGTGTTGCTTCTGACGCTTACCTCGGCTCTTACCTGTGACCAGCCCTTGGGTCCACTCCCGTCCACCGGGTACCTCTGGTCGCTGCACACGGCTCTCTGCAGTCCAGGGCTCCTCCCCTTGTTCCAGCATGGAGATAACGGTCACATCGGGAGGAGAGGTTCCTGCTTAGAAGAGGGAAGGAGCATGACACATGAGCCTTTCCAGAACCGCAGCCCGATGTTTATGTGGGAAAAGGACGTGATACGTGGTTCTGGACAGACATTTCACAAACGTATCCGCTGATCGCTTCCTGTCAATGCTCAGGGATTCGGGTAAAGTGCAGACATCACGGTGTCTGTGCGGAAGCTGAATCGAATCTCGGAGGTAGAAAAAGGATGTGGACATCCCAGAAGTCCGCCATGAGGCGTTCTGCATACTTGAGGTTTGGAACTACCACAGACAGATCAGGAAGGGGCAGAACGCTTGAAGAACAGGAAGCTCTCCTACTGCGAATCACCAGGGCTTCGGTGCTCTCAAGTAGTGCAGCGACCCAGAAGAGGAACACACAAGAAAGTGCAAGACACACGAGGGCAGATCCCGACTTCTGGGGAAAAGTCGTCCTCACCCACGGACACCAGGTTCCTGTAGTTCTCCAACATCACCTCCCTGTACAAAGCCCTCTGAGCAGGGTCCAGGCGTTTCCACTCCGTCTTAGAGAATTCTATGGCCACGTCCTTGAATGTCACCTGTTCCTAAAATTAAAACACATCTCCTCAGGGGGTATCAGAACTGTGCTTATCTTCAAACAAAGTGTAAAAAGGGGAGTGTGAATGATCAGTACAGTTGATGTAAGTGATAAGACAGATCCAGGTTAAAGTATCTGTGAGCTGCTATGTCTCCATGACCGTGTTACATTACATGAGGATTTGATACCGTGTCAGTCTATGTGGATGAGAAATCAACAAAATACCAACTCAGGGTTACCTGTATAGAAGCACGAGGTTAAATATTCAATACGTTAAGTAATATTCAGTATCTAAATAAGCAAGGGAGGGACCAACTGTGGCATGGTGGTTGAGGGTGCTGGACTCCCACATGGTCAGCCACAGTTCGAATCCTGGACCTGGCACCTTATTTTCTCAATTTTCCTCTCTATCTCGTTCTAATCCTCTCTGGTCAAATTAAAATAAGCAAGTAAATAAAATAACTTTTTTATAAAATAAAAATAAGTCAAGAAGTAAGGGCTTGAATGGTATATTAAAAGATGATTGGGGCAGGCAGGCTGGTGGTTAAAGGAGCTGGATTCCCACATGGTCAACTGTGGTTCGAATCCAAGACCTGGTGGCTTGCTTTCTCACTCTCTCTCTCTCTGTCTTTCTTTCTCTCTCTCCCTATCTGGTAAAACTAAAATAAATGAATAAATTTTTTAAAAGTTAAATAAAATAATTCTTTTAAGAAAGTAAATAAAAATAGATGATGATGTCTACGGTAGTCCAAAAAAAAGTTCAGAATCTAAAAACTGTGTTGGGGGCTGTCAGGTGGTGTGGTGGTTAAGGGCACAGGACTCCCATATGGCCGACCACCTGGCGGCTCACTTTCTCACTTTTCCTCTCACCTGACCCTCTCTGGTCTAATAAAAAGAAAGAAAGGAAGGAAGGAAGGGAGGGAGGGAGGGAAGGAAGGAAGAAGGAAGGAAGGAGAAAGAGAGAGAGAGAGAAAGAAAGAATTCTTCAGAAAACAAAACAAAACAAAGAAACAATGAAAAATACCATAAATACCATGATGGTGTCACCAATAGCAAGGAGCAAAGCATTAAATATCTCTCCTGTGAAAGTATTATTCTACATCCTTGAATGTCCAAAACATAAAAGCCAAAGAGTGAAAGATCTACCCCATCTTATGGAGGAGACAATGGGGTCACAGACAATGTAAGAAACAGCCCCGAGGTAAATGACCTAAAATGTCAGAGCTAACACTTAAACCCTGGTGTGTGGGAATAAAAACTGAACCTCAGTGAGATGAGCAGATGGCAAAATGGTTACATTACTGGACTCCCCTGTAGTCTGGATCCCCAGCTTAAAACTCATGCTGGGCACATTTGTGTGTGTGTCCAAAATCTGAATGGAGGAGAAGGGATTGCGTCATGGCCAGCCCACCTAGGGGATTATTGCTTGCTTTCTGTCTTTGTTTCTCTCTAGCAAGCACATGAGCCCTACAGCAAAATCTAAAACAAACAAACAAACAAACAAAAAACTGAACCTAACGGCCGGCAGGTGGTTAAGTAAGGTGGTTAAGTTGTTGGATTCCCACATTGCTGACTGCAGTTCAAGTCCTGGACCTGGTGATTTCTCACTCTTCCTCTCTCTCTTTCTCTGTCTCTCTCTGGTCAAATTTAAGAGTAATAATAAACAAGTTCAAAAAAACCCACAAAACTGAACCTAACAATGAAATGCTACAGTAACAAATATAGAGCAAACAAATTGACGGAGGATTACCTAATTGAGTAAAATGGAAACAAGTTGAAAGATAACATGGAGCTACACACAAATGACACTGTACATGCACACACGTATGTCCACAACATGTTACTGTCCTTCCTACTATCACGCATTAATGTGACAGACAGAACACACGTAAGGCCATGGGGAAATTCAGAAGATACTGTTCAATGAATGAAGAACATTAAACTGACTTAAAATAATGGCTGTCTTTAAAATCCATGGACTTGCACACTATACACATGTACGCACATATCACACACACACACTGAAAAGAACACAGGAAGGAGTCATCTCTTGATGACAGTTTCTTTTTTTTCCTTTTTTCAAGAATTATTTTATTTAACTTTAGTTATCTATTCGCTTATTTTAATTTAACTAGAGAGTGACAGAGTGAGGGAGGGGAAGTAATAAAGAAAGCTGCCAGGTCCAGGACTCGAGCCATGGTCGGTGATGTGAGTCTAGCACCCCTAACCATGATGCCACTGGTTAGCCCTAACGACAGTTTCTAAGTGATATCTATACTTGTTATTCTTGTTAATATGCATTTCACAATAGAACATGAAAACACACAGGCAGAATTTTACCTAGGAAATATAAATTATTTAGACCAGCAGATGGTGTAATGGTTGCATTACTGGATTCACGAACTTGACTGTGGTTCAAATCCTGGACTTGGCGGCTTAAAACACATGCTGGGTGTATGTGCATGGATGCATACCAAAATCCCAAGAAGAAAATGGAGAAAGGACTGCAGCATTGCCATGTCTCCTGAGGGGTGAATTCTCGCTTACTGTCTCTCCATCTCTGTTTTTTAGGCAAGTGCAAACACCCTATAGCAAAACTCTCTCTCTCAAAAAAAAAATTATTATACACTGAATTATATTAAAAAATGATGTAACTTGGAGCCAACACGTGGCATAAAAGTTAAGAAGGCTGAATCCCCACATGCTGAATGCACAGTTGAGTCCTAGACACAGAGACTAGAAACCCATGCAGAACGTCTGTGGGCGTGACCAAAATCCCAAGAAGAGAATGAAGAAAGGATCACAGCTCGGACAGCCCTTCCTGGGGATGATTTCTCATTTTCTCTTACTCTCTTGTTCTGTCTCTCTGGTGAAAAAAAAGAAAAAAAAGAAAAACGAAAACATGGTACAACACAGGAAAACATAACTCCAGTTTAAATTAAATATTCACATTCGAAATACGAATACATACTACCTACTTCAACATTTATACAAAACTTTCTAAGTTTCTCTCAGTAGGAAAAACTAAGATATGGGCCAGCTGTATGGCGAGGTGGTTGAGGCAGTCAGATCCCAACTGGAAGGCCACCGCGATGATTTGCCAGAAACGGTAGCCTGGGTGGCCACTCCGGGTTCGCTTGTGCATTCCCAAAATCCAACGGAAGGAGAGATCGAGGAGAAACTGACGTGTATAACATCATGATGCAATAACACAACAGCATCGCTGAAAATTTCTTCAAGAATCAACCAACAACGAACAAATACATTTCCACAGCACATGCCATGACTCAGCCACAAAAGAGACAAAAGTGGTTCCCCACTGACTAAGGCAAGGGGAAATGTCAACAGGAAAGAAGATGACTTGTGTTTTCAGAGCTATGCTGCATGTTAGGAGTTTTAACAGGAAACAAATACAGAGAGTGCGTTATGTACAATAAACACAGACTTTCACAAAAAATGCACAGTCTCAAGGACATGGCTGTGTGGAGAAAAATTTAATGAGTCTCCCGCTGTGAGGTACTGAAGCTGACTTGGTATGGTTGATGCACTAAAACCACCTCTAACACTGACCTTGCGTCTGCACTTCCCATGCAATTCCTAGTCCTGGAACTCCAAGTCCAGACACATGCAGGCTCGCTGCTGAGCTTCAAACATGGCACAAGATCAGGCAGGACAGACCTGCCACTGAGAGTCTCCTCCCCTCACATTTCCAGGGGTCCCTGAACCCGTCTTCAGGGGCAGCTTCTCCAGCCCTGCCCGACAGCTGGCAGTGAGTGCAGACGTGCCCACGCACTCCCGGCTGCCAACAGCACTCCCGCCGTGGGGCCCACCCCCGACTCCAAGCCAGGTCTGGGTGACCCTCCCCAGGGTGTGCCCACAGAGCCTTCACAGGGTCCCCACCACTGGTCACAGAGGGATGGAATCTAAGAGATGAGAGGGACTGAGGGAGGCGTGGGTGAGTGTCAGTATACCTAGCAGGAGGGCCCTTCAGGTCAGAGGTGAGCAGCTCCAATGGCAGGATTTCAGGAAGGAGACAGGACAATACACCAGGAATATCCATTTACCTGAGGAGGAGCCACGCCTGAGTCCTCTGCAGTCCTCCTCTTGCTCCTCTTCCTGGGCTTCATTTCCAGTACAGGAACTGAGAGTCTTCAGAAATCAACCCTGAACATTAAAAATATGCTGTTTGGGGCTGGCAGGTGGCATGGTGTAAAGGGCACTGGACTACCACATAGCCAACCATGGCTTGAGTCCTGGACCTGGCGGCTTGCTTTTTTACTCTCTCTCTCTCTTTCTGTTCCTCTCTGGTCACATTAAAATAAAGTTAAAATAGGGACCAGTGGTTGGCGTATGGCTGTCACTGGACTCCCATACAGCCGATCACGGTTTGAGTCCTGGACCTGATGGCTTAAACACAAGCTGGGCGTGTGTGCATACATGCCTAAGATCCTGAAAGGAGAATGGAGAAGGGATTGCAGCGTGGTCATCACCCAGGGGGTTGATTTTTCACTTTCCATCTCTCTGCCTCTCTCTGTCTTTCCAGCCAGCACACGAGCCCTATAGCAAAAACCTCTCCCAAAAAAAAAAAAAAAAGTAAAGTTAAATAAAATCATTCTTTCAAAAAAGTGTGCTGTTCATGGTCAGATTCAACACTTCCCCTGTCTGTGCCACAGTCACAGAGAAAAGCCCTCCCCATGGGACCAGCAGTTAGCGTAATGGCTATGTCACTGGACTCCCATGTAGTCGACCGTGGTTCGAGTCCCGGACCCGGTGGCTTAAACTCATGCTGGGTGCACGTGCGTGTGTGTCCAAGATCCCGAGAGGAGAATGGAGAAGGGATCGTGGCATGGCCATCCCCCATTGGGGGTAATTTCTTGCGTTCTGTGTCTCTGGAGAGTGCACGCACCCTGTAGCAAAAACCTCTCAAAAAAAAAAAGCCCTCCCCAAAGGACAGAGGGTCCTCTGCTGCCCACACAGCAGGAGGGGAATGCAACAACCACCTCCTACAACAAGGCCAGCCAGGGCATCCTGCCTCAGCTCCTCAGAGCTCACTCCTGCCGGGTGAGGTCCCCCACACACGGCAGCAGTAGGGAGGTGGGCTGCACCGAGCTCCCTTCAGGACACACAGTGGCGCTGCCTGACCTGATGCAGGGTCCAGCCTCTCTCATTCCTTCATGGGTTACAGATGGACCTGGGCCTTCAGAGACAGAGGGCACAGGGCTGGTGTCCATGCCGGATGCAGAACAGAATGAACCGAGTCCCCACCCGACCATGGGAAGGGGTCCTGGGTAAGGGCACAGGAGTTGGGTTGCAGAAGGCCTCAGCACCCACCGTGAGCCAGAGGTCAGGAGCACTGAGAGGCCAGTCCAGGATGTCCACCTCTGGCACTGCTCCACCCTTGGGGACCTGTTGTCACCAGTACCCAGATAACATGATCTCATGAAAGGACCAGAGGGAATCCTAAAGAGCAGGGGAGATGTAGGGGGAGGGAGGGGGTGTGGAGATGAGGGCGGGGGCTAGAATGTTATGAGGGAGAACGGAGTCTCCATGAGCAGGTGAGAT